GAAAGCGCAATTCCCCGAGTTCATTGAACCCCACAACTGCCTCGCCACGACAGTCAGCCACAAAGATATCTCCGTCAGTATTTGTAGTAAGGGAGAGAGCATCGCCGTTGTACTTGGATGACGAAAATAATGTCTTTTCCGCGGAGAAGAATCGCCTCCCTTGTTTGTCACTTTGAATTCTCTGCACTTCTGAATCTCCCGAAAACTTCGCAACTTTACTCTGCTGCATTCCTTTACTGCGCATGCTAGCTATAAGATCTCCATTTCTATCTAAGCAAAGACCTTGAATCATCCAATTATTTACAAATAAGAATAATTTTACTGCTGTATTATCAAACAAGTACACAGTGGATTCGTGGGAGAAGAATACATTTCCACTTGCACTGATTGTTAAAGCAGAACATTCATAAGATTCACTAAAGTTAAAAAAAGTTTTTGGACTTTCTAAAATATTTAACACTATTCCAGTTCTGTCCATTTTATAGACGTGGCGACATTTTCCACCAATCCATATTTTATCTTTGTCAATACACTGAATCCTATTTATTTTGTCATGGGGACTTTGAAATGTAGTCAAAACTAAGCTATTTTCGATTGTTGAATCCATAGCTTTGCATTTTGTGATATCTTCAAATGACAAGGAACCTAGTATTTTGGTAATATGATCATCTAAAAATCCCCCGGCTACAAATCTCGGTATGCAATTCCCTTGAAATAGGGCATCGTCTTTAAAATTGTCCTTCATTTTGTCATAATAAATAAAATCCTTAGCATTTTTTGAAAGCAATAGTTCTTCATTTTTCTTAATAGCATTCTGTAATTGTTGTTCTGCATTAGTAATTTTGCTGGCATGTTTAATATTTTCAGCTATTCTTTCTGTTTTTTGTTTCAGGACATCTGATCTTAATTTTTCGGCAGCTTGGTGAACAGACTCGATCATATTTTCCTCCCTCTGAGATATTTCACTCAGTATCTTATCGAATTCAATCTCTTCAGAGATTAGTGTATCTTTGAATGTTTGACATTTCTTTAAGATGAACTTTTTTTCTTCCATTTTTGAAGCTATTGCCTGTCTAAAAGACTCAACTAAAGTTTCTAAGTCTTTGAAGTTATGTTCGCTGTGTGATGTTGTTAAACATTTGGTACATACAGGCGCCTCACACTCAAAACAGAAAATCTCGCAAGTTTTTGCATGTGAACTGCAAATAGGTAATACAATTGATTCGTGTTTGCTCCTTATATCAACAACCTGGTGTTTATTTGTTTTGTCTTTTAGATGACTAAGGACACAGTTCTCGCATAAATCAGTGCAACAGAGAACACAATGGAAATCAACAGAGACAGAACAAAGTGGGCAAATGCTACTGTCTGACACCTGTGCCGTTGCCATTGTTCCTAAAATCGAAAAAAACAATTTCAGCAAAAAGGTGTCAATTTTGGCACATGTATTTCTTGAATGGCTGAAAGTAAATTGCAACATTCTCCTAACCTTGCACAAATATTGAATATTTTCCTTAATATGCTTACCTATATGGAATCTGCTCAACGGGATAAATCTAGCTTGCATTGCATTTTATTTGTTTTAAGAAATAAAAGCTTGAATAATTTAGAATTTGAGATTGTAGAAAAAAAAATAATCTCAAATCTCAAAATCCTGCAATGATCGTGTCAAAATATTATATTTTTTGTAATCGGGCAGGCGTAAGACGTGAAACTCAAATCATATCCAGATTTAATCCACAGAGAATTTTTTTACTTGCCCGTTTCTACCTATTTTTTTTCGTTTAACATGTGTGATATATTTTGTAATATTTCTTCAATATAAAGGTGGTTCAAAACATTACATTTGTCATCAAGGAACAATCATATCAAGGAACAATCATTGTGGAAAATACTATGAAAAAAGTAAATATGGAACTGTAATCGGGCTCAACAGTCCATTACAATAATGTAAATTTTAAGCAAATCTTAAAACATCAGTGTTGGGGTCAAATATTATATAAAGGATACCATTATTCGAGGTCAAACCAAAATTCAATGGTCTGCGCAAAGAGTCAATAGTACAATATGCCAAAGTCTGATGATTAGGAAAAACCAATTCACCTTTTGTAACGTACCATATACTTCGTTTTTGAATACTAAACAAGGGTTTTAAAGATAGATGGAATACTGCTAATTCATCAATGTTTATAGTTTTTCCGCACAATCGGCCTTTCCCATGCTAGTCTAACGCACTTTGATAAGGAAACGAACCATCGGATTATGTGGTGACCAATTGTCTTTTAGAGTCAATCATATATTAAACATTATCTTTTAAATTGAAATCTTTAAATTCTCTATCTATAAAATACAAATGTTTAGAGTTTTTCAAATTGCTTTTTTCCTAATACATAACTTGGCATATTGTACTATTGACTCTTTGCGCAGACCATTGAATTTTGGTTTGACCTTGAATAATGGTATCCTTTATATGATATCTTGACCCCAACACTGATGTTTTAAGATTTGCTTTAAATTTACATTATTGTAATGGACTGTTGAGCCCAATTACAGTTCATATTTACTTTTTTCATCAGTATTCCCACGATGACTGTTCCTTGATATGATTGTTCCTTGATGACAAATGTAATGTTTTCAGAACCACCTTTATATTGAAGAAATATTTACCAAAATATATCACACATGTAAACCAAAAAAAATAGGTAGAAACGGGCAAGTAAAAAATTCTCTGTGGATTAAATCTGGATATGATTTGAGTTTCAGCATCTCTTGTACACCTGCCCGATTAGAAAAATAATATTTTGACACGAATCCATCAGGATTTGAGATTTGAGATTATTTTTTTTCTACAATCTGCAAATTATAAATTCAAGCTTTATTTCTTAAAACAAATGAATGCAATGAGAGCTAGATTCATTAATTGCCGTATCCATAACAGTATAAGGAAAATATTCAATATTTGTCAAGACAGGTTAGGAGAATGTACCTACTTCAGCCATTCAAGAATGCATGTGCCGAAATTAGCACCTTTTCTGAAATTGTTTTTTCAATTTCAGGAACAATCAGCAACGGCCGCAGGTCTGACAGTAGCATTTCCCGCTTTGTTACTGTCTCTCCCCCTTGATTTCCATTGTGTTCTCTGTTGCACTGATTAAGTCGAGAACTGTGTGCTTAGTCATCTAAAAGACAAAACAAATAACACCAGGTGTGAGGATATAAGGAGCGAACACAATAAATATATACTATTTGCAGTTCACCATGCAAAGACTTGGAGGTTTTCTGTTTTGAGTGTGGAGGCGCCTGTATGTACCAAAATGTTTAACAACATCACACAGCGACATTGAGCTTCAAAGACTTTAAAACTTTCATTGATCTTTTAGAACGGCAATAGCTTTCAAAATGGAAGAAAAAAGTTCATCTTAAAGAAATATCAAACATTCAAAGATACACTAATCTGTTGAAGAGATTAGAAAATAAATAATATAGTGAAAATATTTCTGGAGGAGAAGTATCATCGAGTATTAGCCAAGCTGAAAATTAAGATACGAGATGTATGAAACAAAAAACAAAAGATAACTAAAAATATAAACATACCAGCAAAATTACTAATGCAGAACAACAATTAAGAAATGCTCTAAGAAAAATGAAGCTGTTGCTGCAAAAATGCTAAGGATTTTATTTATTATGACAAATGAAGGAAATTTAAAGACAATACCCTGCTTCAAGGGAATTGCATACCGAGATTTGTAGCCCGGGGATTTTTGACAATGATGGTGTTTTACCAAAATACTAGGTTCCTTGTTAATTTGAAGATATCACAAAATGCAAAGCTATGGATTCAACAATCGAAAATAGCTTAGTTTTGAGCTAGTTCAAAGTCCCCATGACAAAATCAATAGGATAGATGTATTGACAAAGATAAAATATGGATTGGTGGAAGTGCGCACGTCTATAAAATGGACAGAACTGGAATAGTGTTAAATATTTTAGAAAGTCCAAAAACTTTTTTAACTTTAGTGAATCTTATGAATGTTCTGCTTTAACAATACAGTTGCGAGTGGAAATGTATTCTTCTCCACGAATCCACTGTGTACTTGTTTGATAATACAGCAGTAAAATTATTCTTATTTGTAAATAATTGGATGATTCAAGGTCTTTGCTTAGATAGAAATGGAGATCTTATAGCTAGCATGCGCAGTAAAGGAATGCAGCAGAGTAAAGTTGCGAAGTTTTCGGGAGATTCAGAAGTGCAGAAGAATTCAAAGTGACAAACAAGGGAGGCGATTCTTCTCCGCGGAAAAGACATTATTTTCGTCATCCAAGTACAACGGCGATGCTCTCTCCCTTACTACAAATACTGACGGAGATATCTTTGTGGCTGACTGTCGTGGCGAGGCAGTTGTGGGGTTCAATGAACTCGGGGAATTGCGCTTTCGATATACTGGAAACGTCTTAGAACAAACAAAACTTGAACGTTTCAAACCATACGATATCTGCACCGATGTCAATCAAAACATATTAGTCTCTGACACAGAAAACGGCTTATTCCATATAATAGACCGAGATGGCAGCTTTATCCGCCACATAGAACAATTGAGTGTTGGAGCCTTTTGTATAGATTCGCAAGAAAATCTGGTCGTAGGAGATATGGAGACTGGACTTGTTAGGATATATAAATATCGTGAATTATTAAGTAACAAATAATTATAAAAGCTTTACAAAGCTTAAATTATTTCAAAATATATTGGTGTACAGCTAGCAAAGATTTCTGACAGAAATGCTTTCAGTTTGCTGATACTTATTTTGTGTTGAACATATAAAAACATTAAAAATATAAAGTGACATTTTATTTTTTTTTTTTTGGTAAATGGAGTAAAAAAGTTCACCAACAAAGAAGCGCTCTTTTATAAGTACTGTTATTTTCTTTCTAAAGAGAATTTTGAACTTTTTTTGCATATTATTTTTCGTTTTCTAAGAATCCTTCTATGTATATACAAGTATATTGCATTTATTTTTAGTACTTCACCGGAAGAGGTAAGTAAATATATCCAACCTTAATACAAATTTTCTTAGCTAAAGGGAATGAAAAAAGTCTGTGTACAGGAAATGATACTTTTTTAATAAATAGAGAGATCATAAAGAAAAGGCAGGGTCTCAACATTTAGTTTGACATTTTTCATTTTCAATGTTTATTCAAAAACTAATGCCAACTTTCTCCACGGGCTGTTTAACAGGTAGGCTCCGTCACAATCAAATTCTAAAACTGGTTAAAATAGGTGCCACAGTTCCACCACAGTTTAAATATTAGCGCCAGAGTAAGATTACCGTCGTCAATACAATAAAATATATAAATCAATAAATCCAATGAACCTCTGAATTATTTACCCAATGAAGGGCTAATTGTTTAGTTTGCACAATCGATTTTCTTCTTCTTCTCTAGACCTCATTAGACACATGAATGAAATGAGACAAGTATTTTTTTTACACTTCACGATAATCACGACTGAAATTTTTAAATACCAAAAAAATCATACTTTAATACAATAGTTTTTAACATGTTAAAGATAACCATGTCTCTACAATTGCATAGGCAATCCGTGTCAAAACATTGTACGTGTATCGTATGTATTTTTGTATGTAGAAAAATTAGCAATACATCCACGAAAATATAATTTTATTTATTCTAACTGCTCGTTTGAAAAAGTTTTTAAACTACAAATTTAAAGATACTTTAGTCCCCAATAATTGCAAATGTATAGATCTGATGTAAGCATGACTATGTGACATACCAAGATTCTCTTTGTCTTTTAAAAACATTGTACATGTAGGGTTACATGTAAAAGCTTAAAAACGTGATTGTGGTATTGCCATTTTCAATTATATAAAATAGTTGCTTTATCATAAGTACTTATGCGTTGTAGAAAGGAGTCTTTTTCTTAAAGCAAACATATGTAAATGCATTTTTATAGATCACATTCTTATTTTTGTTTTGCAGTATGTTTAATCGATATCGATTAATTAATTTATTATTCAGTTATTCATGTTATTATTGAAATTATCATATGCCAAATAATTAATGTCATTTTTATTTAAAACTACTGAATCATAAGGTCTGTCACTCATTTTCAGGTTCCTTCCGATTCAAGTAGCAAAAATTGCCGCGAATATTAGGCATTTATTTGTCTTGCGCGCTACATTTAAAATGATGGAGAACCTTACTACATTATATTTTACCATTTTTATAGTGTTAATAGGCAACAGGTTTTTAATGAATATTTCGAAAACAAAAGTAGTACGTAGCATGGTTACACGTTTGCTTTCAAGTAGCTAATAATGGGTTGATTACGTCGCGGGGTTGAATCCACTGTGGACATTGTGGCGAGTTGCCTT